AGGCAAAGTCCATAATTATACACCAATCTTTCTATGGCTTTTAGATTTGCTCAATAACAGCTTCATTGAATGTGTTTCTATGAAAGATCTACCTTATACCACCAAGTTCAATGAAAAGTTTGACGCAGCACTTATCTACTCTCTATGTAAGTGCTATACTTATCGATACCCTAGAGCAGTGAAGTCATGTTCTCTGACTATCTGACGATTCGTTTATCAAGTTGGGCTGTGACATTTGCCTCGAGAAAGGCCCTTTCCTGACTGTATCATGTTTAAGGTTTGGTGTCGGAGGGGGAATCTGGTTCGAATTTGGTTTTCACCTCATTGAGCTGAAATGCTGCAGAATACCAAGGAACTTTGGACAGTTTCCTTCTTTTAACCCTTTTGGGAGAATAGTTTGAGGATGACATTTCCAGGGAAGAGGACAGATGCAAAATAACTTCACTGTCTTACCGAAACCTTTGGGAAGCATAAGAGTGGCGACCAAGGTTCAAGATTTCTTGTCCAGAATCTGAGTCTGAGAAAAATGCTTCTGGTCAAATATTAGCACTCCTGATTCTTGTGGAAAGCCTTTCCAGAGTTATTCGATCCTCTGGTTTGAAGATTGAAAGCTGTTACATTTGCAAAGGTTTGCTCAACATAATAAACACTGCGGATTAAGAAAGGCATGTCACAGAATATCCTATGAGTGACACAGTGCAACATATTATAAATTTACACACTGTAATAGTTTAATCTACAGGCGTAAAACCTTGTAATCACTCTCAAGCAAAAACATTTTGATTCCCCTACAGCAAGAATTCAAAGGACGAGAAGTAAGTGAGAGCTGCTTGCTGGAAGGTCTTGTCAAAGAAAAAGTAAAGCTTTTCAATATGGATATATCCTCCCTTAAAGGATTTTATTTGTGAGCTACGTTCTTTATTTTAAAAATACATACTCATTGTTATTCTGTTTATGAAATAATCTGCTTTTGCATCTGTACCCTTAAACTATTTATCGTGAAACGCTCAGCAAGCTGAGTTATTGCACCTCATTGGTCAAAACTGGTACGATGCACTTGCTTAGTTTTTGCTGGAGGCAAAACTTGCAACATAGCAGAGATCTTGCAGATGTGATGTGGCTAAGATAGGATGGGTGTTGGGGCAGGAGAAGTGTCTTATGAAAAAGTGTTTTTGGTGTGTTTATGGGTTGTTAAAATTCTCAGAGCTTTCAGAAGAGAAAAACACTCAATTGAGCAACTTTTTAAAATGCATCACTCTTAACTGCAGTGATTGAATGGCATTGCAGACACCTTAGTTGTTGTTGTTTTTAACATGCCGATATCTTCTGCACCTGTTGAACACTGTTTTTGTGTTTTGTGTGATCCATAAACATCTGAAAATTTTCATGCTACATTCTTCACTGGTAATCACTTAAACACCTTGACAAGCTGTTGAACTATGCTTCCTTTCCATTCATCAGAAAGAATGTGTGCAATTTCTGCCACTCAGGAGGCCAAAACGATTATCTTTTTTTTTTCCAAGACTTGAAAGGAAAGAAAAATACTTATACTTGTGGAGTTGTTCAGAAATCTAACGTACAAACAACTTTTGTCAAATAAAATTTGCTGAAAACATCCCTTTGTTGATTCATACCAAGATTTGAGACTTTGATATATTTCCGATGTAGAAACAAGCTACATAAATGGTTCCTTGACATATTTATTGTCCGTGCTCCAGTTATTCTTAGATAGGTCCAAGAACATTCAATATTTCTTTTCAGTATTTGTACTTTCAGTTATATAAGTAATGACAGAAACTGAAGGTTTTCCAAATTGAAGGTGGAGTGTCTAGCAACATGTAAACTGAGTGTTAAGTGTTAAACTGAGCTGTGTTTAGTCTGAGGTTTTCTCATATGTTTGTGTAATTATTGAAAACTGGCACTCCCACAAGTGTTTGTCTCCTGGCATTTTTGTTGTGTGTGTGTGTGTGTGTGTGTGTGTAACAGGAGAAGAGCATGGTGACTTGGATGTGTTTCTATATTCTAATGAGTCGTTTCATGTGTGAGACGTCCTCGTAACACAGTCTAAAAGTTTTTGTGTTTGTGAGCGAGTTGTGTTATCAATGCCGACCAGATGACACCAGCTCTTAATGGAGAGTTAGCTTAGTTTACCATGAAGATGAAGGTTGCTGTGCCAGCTTTTTCTTTTTCTTTTTATTGTTTCTTTCTTTGCCTACTTTCTCTTCCTGCATGTTTGTGTCAATGAGTGTGTATTTAGGGTATTTATTCGTGTGCGGTCTTTGATGTCAGCTGGTCGTTTCAACTGTTTGCAGTGTTAGATAATCACAAAACACAATCACTCTGATCTATTCCTGAACCTCTGCCATTATATATAGCACGCTTCTCATCCACCCACAAACTCTCTCCATTTGTCTCTCTCATACACAAACACTCGTGCACACTCCACTTTCCATCTCTCCTCTGCTCTGACACTCCTGTCCTGCATCTCGTACTCCCACACTCACTATATTTCTGCGTATTATGGTATTACGCTTCTCTTTGCTTTCTCTTCCTCTGTTCTCTCACCTGCATCTCCTGAAGCCCAACTCACCCCATTACAAACACTTCCCTCTGTCCAACCTTTTCCCCTTCCCCTGTCACCCTCCAACATGCCTTCTTTGCCTTCAATCACATATGAGCGTGCGGACGGAGGGGGAGTATTGATCGCACATTTGGCAGACCGGCACAGCAATGGATGACCCTGAATGTACAAGTGGTTGGGAAGCAGGGGGATGGGGAACAGACGGACAGGTTGGCTAGTTTAAGCAGCGTCCTACCAATAACTCACCTGTCAATGTGGAGAACCACCAGGGAGGGGGAGTGAAAACTGCTGCGGCAAGCGGCGGCAACATGAGAGGTTGCGTTTGACAACTATTTAGCCAAACATTGTGCGTTTTTTATTTTTATTTTATGCCATTCTTCCTCTTAGGTGAACAGTTTTGGAACTCAATCTTTCAATTCGGAATAAAATGGTTATGATTTTTAATGGCTCCCTCTATATCATTTTAGGTGATTGGTTTGACTTTTCATTTGGCTATTTATTTATCTGTGTAAAAGGAAGTGAGACTTTATTTTTGTAATTTTGTTTTCTCTGCTGAGCCTGCTGTGTTAATTGGAGGTCAAGTGAAGACACATAAAACGTTTATTAATGGAAGTATTTTGCTCTGTTCTAGTAGAAATGACCTGCTGTAAGTACTGGTGTCAGAAGTTTCATTTGATGAAGATTTGGATATGCATGTTTTTGTGCCTGAATTTTTTATTTTGCATCAGTGTTACTTATTTTTCCTTATTTGCTAAATTTGCATTTATTTATATTTTTATCTCTGTTTGCATTGTTTGCGCTTTAAATTAGTAATTCAGTAATTAAGTAGTTATTTTATGAAATATTTTTTTTTCTTTTTGTAAAATGTCTTTGTCAGTTACTTTTTGCCTCTGCTTGAGTAAAAATATTTTGAAGTGAAGCTCCTTGTACATGAGTAAAAGTTTGGTTTTTCTGCCCACGTGTCAGTTTTTGTAAAAGTTTTTTGGTTTTCCATTTGCCCTCTGCTCTCATCTGCAATTCAAAATAAAGCTCCTGAACAAATTATTAATAACTAAAAGTATTAATTTTTACTTAACATTCCATGTTGTAACTTAGGTCACTGTATTGGCAGTATTGGCAACTCTCAGAAGCATAGCTGCTTAAAAACACAGATATAATCATAGAATCGTAAAACTAACCAGGTAACAAAAGGAGTGTAAAGTGAAAATTCTCACCAAGTCATGATAAAAAGTGCAAACATCGGTACATTTGATATGCATGTGATGCGAAGGGCTTTGCTTAGTTGGCAAAACCAGAAAAGTCTTTGAAAAAAATCTCCACCTAATAGTTTGAGCAGTCTTATTTGCGTCAGGCTTTGCTTCGCTGTCCGATTTTGGTTTTGAATTTACTCTTTCACTTTTCTTTTAAATTGACTTCTGAGATTTTTCTTGTGAGAATTCAGATTTTGAAGACTTTAAACCAGCCAAAGCAAATTTCCTTCGAAGTATAACAGCCAAAAGTTACACAACTTCCCATGTAGTATTCCTTCAACCAGGGGGAATCGTTGCTGACGATTTTCTTATAGTCGAAAGGACAGCAAACATATTGAGAGTTTTTGCCTGAAGCAGTTCAGTAAGCGTCTATTTTAAAAAACACACGTTGACGCAGCAGATGAACTGAGACAACTACCTGTGAAGCTTGATGAAAAGAGCCTGAAGCACAATTTAAGTGTTATGATTTCCCAAATAACACATTTCAAAGCTGATTAAAACAATTCACAGTATTCTCCCCACTTTTAGACTAATAGTTACAGAAACATGTTGTGTGTTACTGCAGACTGTAATTGTCAAAACCTTTCCGTCGTAATGCTGGGTGCACCGTGATGGATGCAGAAATAATCAGACCCTTTTTTAGATGCACCTCGCCAGGATCAGGTCGACACCATTTTTTTTCAGTAATAAGTGCCTCGTTTCTTATAGTGGAAGAGATTCAACAAGTTATTGGAAATGTTTCTTTGAGATTTAAGTTCCTATTGATCATAGTGTTGCTTCATTGATGCAGATTTCTTGGCTGCACAGACGAAACAAATCTCCTGTTTCACCCCAGTGAGCTCAACAGGATGGAGGTGAAGTCATTCACTTCATTCCGGATAAGAGTTTGAATCAATAATTGAAGTACTTGTCAATTAACTGAAATATTACACTTTCTGTACCCTGACAGATGGTTGTGTATGAGATTGTTAGTAGATCAACAGTTTGAGACATTTGAAGTTACTTTAACAAACTTTTTTTTTTCTTTTTACTTTCTGTTGCTCAATTTGAAGTTGGGCGACCGGCGATTAGCACGCCAACTTGCTAAATGCATTTAGTTGCTGCCATGTGTGTCATGTTGGGTTCCAGTTTACGCACCCACATGCACGAACACAATCAGGAGACGCGTGTGCAAAAACAATAATGAAGTTTATTGAAAAGGGGAAAGGGTTGGGGAAAAAACACGGAGCAGGAATCTGGACGGGATAATCAGTACAGCCACTGTCAACGAGAGTAAGCGGTTAGCATCAGCGAATCCAGAGAGGTGGATGAATATTTGTACTGAGGGGGGAAGACGGCTTACTTAGGAGCAGACAGGAGTTCTCTTGGAAGCAGAGAACCCAGGGGTGGCGTGGAGAGGCAACGAACCGTTGGAGGGCGGACAGGTAGGTCAGGCTGAGTGGAGGAACGAGCTGGCGGCTGGTGGCGGCCCTGGAAAACGATCCACGGAACTCTTTTCTCAGAAAAACCCCGGAGGGATCCAGGTAAACCGAGGTAAACAAACACTCAGGCAAGGAAGTGTCAGCTCGCCGCTTCTTAAATATCCCCAGCCTCAGTTGGGTAATGCGCCACAGGTGTGTCCCTGGGTTCGACCACATGCTTCTCCAGGGGCTCTGCTCCTAGGCGGCATCTGGTGGAGGAAGTGGGAAGCAGCAGGCTTCCAAAAATAACAAAACAAACCACCGATCCTGACAATGTGATTGCCTGGGCTGCTGTTTGTGCTCACAAATATTTCATTATATGATTCTAAAAAGCTGTTTAACATCAATTAATAGCAAAAACATAACATTGCTAACTGTGAAATATCTGCACTCGGTCATCACAAAGATGTTTGCACCGTTGCATCTCTGGTCTCAAGTCAAAAGCTGATGAATAAGTACAGAAGCTGCGGGGACCGTTCTTTCCTGCCGGGTTTTGTTTTGCATTTATCTCAGACAGGCAGGATATCATAAAAGCTATTTTGAAAACCACAAAACAAATTTATTTGTTCCATATTCTCTGCTGCACTCCTGGGAAAAAAAAAAGCCACTGCAGCACAGAGAGCAGTATGAGCACAGATTGAGACATGCACTGCAGTTAAAATGCTAATATAGGCAATTCAATTAAAAGTACCTCATTTCCTTTGGCCATAACGCTGTTTTGTTGAGTTGTGTGTCCACTCGTATGGATTATTATGAGAAACAGAGAGTGGGTTTATTTCTCTGGGGCAGAATCTGAACATACTTGCAATGGTAGCAGAGTTGAATGCAGCCTCTGACAGCAGAAGAACATCTTCCTACATGAGGCTGATCTGGAGAGAACCGGTGACATTTGTGTCCAGGCTGTGCACCATTAGAAGTACAGCTCTGTGTGTAAATAAACCCCAAGAGTGGCTCGTATGCTGCTTGCCAACACCTGCAGTGATCACATTATCCCTGCCCAAACCGGTGCGCTGTATCATTAGAATCAAAACCGCACGTGCGTATTACCTCCCTTCCCGCTGTGCAGCTGTTTGGCATTAACATTACATCACATTGTTTCTGCAACATGTCACACCACACATTATATCACTTTTGTCGTCAAAACTCCTTGTTCTAAATTATTCTCATTGAAGTTATACACGCAAACGGGGGGAAAACACAGACACTGGCGGTACTCTACAAATAGCAGTTCAGATAAATAAGCAATTGAATAAACACACATTTTGTCATGAATAATTAAGATAAACCTGACCTAGATTAGCTAACATGAATGAGTGATTCTAATTTGAGCTGCTAGTTGTAAGCCGTGTAAATAATGAATGTGGGTATTTGTAATTCTGTAGTAAGTCGTGGAACTTCTAAGGCTAATGTACCATGGGCTAACTAAATACATTATACATTTATTCACCAGTGCCTGGGACAAATTTACTGAACAATGGAGCAAACAAATGCTAATTCTGCATCAAACATGGTGCTGTTGCATAAATATTCACACAGACTTTTTCTTTTAGCATATGTTGTCACATATTAGCATAGAGCTGGCAGAGGGATAACCAGCAATTTAGCATGAAAAAGCCAAGCAGAATGCAGTGCAGCAGTGTTTGACCAGTGAAAGGCAACCTGAATTACTCAATTAACCTTGTGAAGGTTGCATTATGGCCACAGAAACATGTGCCCATACAAAAGCACAACATGCCCTTACAAATATCCACTGTGACTCTTTGTGTTATTATAATTACTGTCTCTGCTGCTGTAATCCAGTCTTTCTGCTAAGCTAAATTGGGTTGTTGAGGTGGACTGGACAGGCATCATTTTTTCCTGCCTAGGAGGAACATTAAATATTGACCTGGAGTTGAAATCAAAGCCCTGAAAGCCATTCAGAATCTGTGAGAAACTTTTTGATCATCTGGTGTTTTATTACGTTCTGCAATGCTGGACTCTAAAGCTCACCCAACTGTGCAAAGAATCCTTTTGTATGATGGTATAAAAATTATATTAAAATGTAAGTTCACTTTGCTTAAAATATGCTGGATGTGTCTACCTAAAGGCATATACTGCCACGTAAAATAATTTGTGTTACCCTAAACCAGTGGTTCTTAACCTTTTTTGAGGTACCGAACCCACCAGTTTCATATGCACATTCACTGAACCCTTCTGTAGTGATAAATAAAATTTGATTTTTTTCCCCCCAAATTCAAGACATAGGGGTGACCCAACTAGAGTCTAGTTGGTGACTCAACTAGAATCTAGTTGGGTCATCCCATGATCACTAAGTCTAATTAAAAGGTAGAGTCTCTGAGAATAGTTCTTCAAAATACAGTCAGTGTTTTCAGCAAAGTTGAGCTGACTGTCCAGGAACAACCCAAGTTATTTAAAATTAGCCACAGTTTCAACAGGTTGGCCATCGAGAGAAACTGGAATCACTTCAAGGTCTTGTTTAGATCATTTAATTAGCTCTACATTCTTAAGAGAATGAAATAATAATAAATAAGACTTTGTGGTATTCTGATTTAGTAATGTAATTATATTAGTTGTGTTACCACCCCCACGCCACTAGAGGCAGTACCAACCCCGAAAAGATGCGACTAAGGAGCAGATTTAGAAGCACACCGAAAGCTACAAAATTTGGTAAAAATGGTGAGCTTTGTTTAAGTAATTAAAGATACAAGTTCAAATCCATGCTGAGAGTGGAGCTCCTTCAATCAGTGCTCCTCCTCAGCTCTGATTGGCTCAGCAATGTAACGTGATCCTCTGCAGCAAGTGATGGCAAAGCGGGGCGCCATCATGACTTTACACAGTGTGTCTTTACCTCCGCGGCAGAGGCTCCGCCGAACCCCTGAGACCGACTCATCGAACCCCTGGGATTCGATCGAACCCAAGTTAAGAACCACTGCACTAAACCAATACATCCAGCCACCTCTCTTCAGATAAGTGTAAACCTTTGTGCTAAACTCAAGTCGTTTGCAGCACCTAGCAGATTTCCCTCCATATTGTACTAAATTTACATCCAATAATATTTTCATCAATTTTGAACAGCTTCCATGCTGAAAAACAAACCTGCAGCATAGTGCTGCCACCACCATGCATCACTATAATGAATGCATGGTGTTCAGAGTGATGTGTAGTGTCACATGGTAATTTGATTGTAGCCCAGAAAGTTAAGGTTTGCTCTCATCTGACCAGAGCACTGTTTTGCCTGCGCTTGCTGTCTTTTACAAGCAACATACTGCTGTAAGCATGACTGTTATGATTTTCTTCATTCCACTTTGTCATAAAGGGAATGTTTTTATCGTGGTTGTTAGTATGACAACAGATTCTCAGAACCTCTTCACTGCTTCCCTAATCACTGCTGTCTTTGTCCAAATGTGCAATTCTCAGTTTTGGTGGACAGTCGTCTCTTGGAGGGTTTGCAATCTGTGTGTGCTTTGGTCTTTGTTATGCTTGTTCACTAATTTTCTCTAATGAACTTCTGAGGCTATTTAGAGAAAATTACATTGAAAACCATGTATAATTTTTCTTTTACTTACACACTACTTTGTGTTGGTAGTTGTAATTTTATAAAAAATAAAAAGCTCAAGAGGTTCAAATATTTTAGTAAGGGATAATATTAAAAAAACAAAAACAAAATCAATCTTGCCCCAATAGTTGGTAAAATTATTTTAATTCAAAACTTTGTTAAGCAACATATGGCACATTGCATTTCCTAATTGTTAATTTAGCAAAAGCTAAACAATATGCAGAGCTAGTGTGAACAATTAAGTGCAGCCCGTGATTGATTAGATTTTAGAATCAGCTCTGGCAGCAATAACTCGAGGTAATCATCTTCTGTTTTAACCCAATCACTCTTCCAGATCATTGTGAAAGCCTTCTGGCCAACCTTTTTGTTACAGCACTGCTTCAGTTCATTAAAGATTAAAAGGCATTTGTTTGTGTGGAGCAACTTTAGCTGACAGGCCTGTTGCAACACTGTAAATAATGATGTTGAAAACATGCAATATCAACGTTCTGCTTGGAAGATATTGCAGTGATACTTTCTTCCTTTCCTGATTATTCCTAAATTGTTTTGAATGAAATGTTGATGCAAGAAGAGATAGCAGAAGAGTCACAAAATTAAGATGAAAACACACAATACAGTGATGTCTTCCATTCTCTTTAAATTGAAATTTTAAAATGTTAAGTTGAACAAGGTCAACTATATGACATTAGTTTCTACTACAGCAAGAGAAACACCATGACGGTATACTTAAAAAAAAAAAAAAAAATTCTCCCGTGTCACATGATTGCAGGGTGCAGTGGCGGTTGGCAAAATTGCCTCAGTGCATGAAGATCTACATCAAGTTGAAGTCGGTTTTTCCTTGTGCAGAATTCTGGAGGTTTTGTCAAAGCGTCTGTTCAGGGTTGAATCCTGATTTCCCTGATGGCTTGCAGGATAGGTTCCCGCCTCACTTCGACCCTAAACAGGTTAGAACGTTTGGAAGATGGATGGATCGATTGAATTTCGATTTTGAGCAAAGCAAGGTACGTTTAGGTTAAGGTACATCTATTTGGGAGTAGATCTTGGTGCTCTGGTGTTAGCATGAAAGTTTCTGACTGTCTCACTTTTCTGCACTTTTGTTCTTTTTGTGTGTATATCCCTGTCGCATGTGAATGGTGTATGAACATAATGCTTCAATAAGTGTTATACTTGAGTAATTTAGAGACATAATAAATACCACACATCTTCCCCACTGTTATGGATTTTATGAAATTTCTCCTCAAATGTCAAGGCAAAGAACAGAAAATTAGTTGGGCAGAACTTACTGGTAAAAATATAATGAGGATATTGGTTGTGATAAACTTGCATATTTCCAGCCTATTTTTTATTTATTTTTTTGCCAAC